CTGACTACCTATCAGTCAGGAGACAGGTGATAATTCACAAACTAAATCTAAGTAATGACTAGGCAAAAATCTGAATAGAAAATGCCCTCATTCAGATCTATCACTGTATCCAATCCATCTCAATTTAGTACAATATTAAGATAGTAACAATAACTATAGCCCTCAGTCCATGGCTGCTTTGACCAGGCAAGATTGGCAGGTTCTAATTCTAATCACTGTAGAGATCACCAGGACTAATCAATCCTGAATTAGGGAATCCAGTTCCTGATCTGCACACCCAATGTGGCTGAATATTTGGGTAACCTTAATACAATAGTCTATCCAATAGGTAAAAAAAAAAAAGGATTGCAGGGTACTTTTTTGTTAAAAAAGCCGTGATATTCTTATGCACTAGAAGAAGGATGACACTGCTGTTGAAAAAAGGATATCAGTTTGAAAAAAAAATGCATGGTACATTTAATAGTCCCTTCCATGTACATATTAACTGCAGGCAGAGAGTGCCAGTGCCATGCTTCCCACCAAATATACCTGCCAGCTTTTTTGCTTATAGAAGAATCTTGAGACATCTGAAACCTGACCTCTCTCATGGACTGGACCAGAGAGCAGCCTGCATGGCTCTCAAACAGGCAGGAGCTTGAGCAGGATGTGATTGGATAGCATCTGTTCAAGGAGAGTGGTAGGCTTTATAGGACCAGAACTAACCATTTTTAGCATGTTGACTTTTTAGAACTTGGAATTACAATCTGCTAAGATCCCTGAAACAGATCTGTGTTTCTCAGCCTGGAAGAATCAGATGGATTCATCATGTCAGATGGATTCCAAATCCAATCCAGTCAGGGAGAACTGTGCCTTCAAAAACCCAGAAAGCATACAGAGCAGACAAAGCAATGGCAAAAAGCCATGGAAATAGACCCCCTATTTTCCTTTTCTTGCAGCTGTTGGCAGATCAATATTACATTGATTTTTAAGGATCAGAACTAAGTGTACAACCTGGAAATGAAAGATAATTATTCTCTCTATCTTTCCCTCACTGAATTTAATGTGTTACTTTAACTCTGCCTTTCTCTTATTGAATGGAATACATAAAATTCATCATAGATTATCTGCTTCTTATCTGATTGTCTTGTATGGCATTAGACTCAAGCATTCTTGGTGACACATTCCCCATAAAGAGTCAAACTCTAGTTAGTCAATTGCCCATTAGCTTCTATATTATTTAATAAATTGTATTGATTGTTCAGTAATTGTACTTTTATTTTTGGACTTAAGAGCACATAAGCCTTTTTAATAGCCTATAGTCTTAATAACATATGGCCTATGGAATGAAACTAATCACAATTATTCCAGGTATTTGAGACACTTTAAAGATTTAACAATTAAGACAACCAGAACAGGAAAAATCTGTCCCTTTGCTACTTATATTACCACCATTACATAAAGTGCTGGTATAGATTTTACCTCTTTATCAGGCAACAGATGTATTGTTTCCCAACAGAAGGAGGGAGATGGAGAAAGAAGAGCAGATGGTGACAGCATCATTGGCCACAGCCTTTCAAAAATGATCAAATTATAACTTTTAAAATAAAATGTGAGGCATTATGAAACGTGATTGGAGAGTAACCAGATTAATTTTTTAGAGAAAATTAAATACAAATGGAATTTGGTTTTTGGTTTGATCCCATTATTTTTTTTTGTTACAGCATTCCCATTTGCTATTTAGTTTAGTTTAGTTTTAGTTTTATTTGATTTATATACCGCCCTACTCCCGAAGGACTCAGATCGGTGAACAGCCACAAGATAAAACACATAAATACAAAATTTAAAAGCAAAATAAAACTGAATTAAACAATTTGGCCGAACACAGATTTAAAGCACCCCACTAATTAAAAACAAATTAAAATTTGCATTTTAAAAAGGGAAAAAAGGGAAAAAGAGAAAAATTAGGCAAGGCCCGCCTGATGGAATAAAAAGGTCTTGAGAGCGCGGCGGAAGGTGCAGGGGAGCTCATTCCAGATAGTAGGTGCCCCCACAGAGAAGGCTCTCCCCCTGGGGGCTGCCAGTCGACATTGTTTGGCCGACGGCACCCCAAGGAGCCCCTCTCTATGAGAGCGTATCGACCGGTGGGAGGCTACTGGTGGCAGCAGGTGGTCCCGTAGATAACCAGGTCCTAAGCCATGGAGCGCTCTAAAACCTTGAAGTACACACGGAAGGCCACCGGGAGCCAGTGCAGCTCATGCACTTTGAACTATGAGGTGACCTAAGGTTCTCCAATGTTGCATGACTGAAGACCTAATGACTGTTGAGGCCAACAAAATGAAAACCTACATCTAAGACATTTTTTCCCCCTTTACTTTGTAAACATGACAGGGAGCAGGTTTATAAAATCCTATCAGTCCTGGGAGAACTATTTCTGCCTTTAAACAAAGCCCCCTTAATCTTTTCAAACTGAAAAGAACAATATATTACTCAGTGCAAGCAGGATGAAACCACCACCACCACCAAAAAAAAAAAAAAGGCCTCAGAGACTTAACCCATGAAATTTCCTAAGGCAGAGTTCATCAAGGCATCAATCAACAATGTCACATGTCAGAAACAATGTCAGGGAAAAAAACCCATAGATGTTCAGTATAGGTATCCCTAGTTAAGTGAGCACAATTGGGACAGGCCAGTGAGGTCATTAAGTGAAGTGGTCACTAAATGAAACCACAACTGTGCTTAAAGTCCTGCAAGGTCATAAATATGAGGATCAGTCAAAGGGTTACTTCTTCATTATCATTGTAACTGCACATGGTTGCTAAATGAGGCAGTCATTAAAAGGACAACCTGTAACCAATTAAGGGTATTCACTTAATACTATAAATGTTCTACCACTCATTAACAAGAAACAAAGGTTATTTCCAATGCCAGTGCCTTCTCTAAAATGCCCCCCCCCCCTTTAACAATGAAATGATTCCTTACACAATCAGAGCTTATCTGGTTTCTTCTATACTGGAATAAAGTTTGTTTGTATGCTATGCTGATTCCATGCATTTGTAATAGCCTAAAGTCCCTGGAAACATCCCAAGTAAACCAAAACACCCAGCAGCCCGAGAAGAAAAAACAGGAATCATCTACAACATACAGTGTAAAGACTGCAACAACCACTACATAGGACAAACAGGCAGAAGACTGGCAGAATGCATCCATGAACATCAACTAATAGAAGCCATGATGAAAACTAATTTCTCAACATATGGACAGATTTAACCATAGTTTCAACTGGGAAACTGTGATCATCCTAGACCAAGCCAAGTCTCAAAATGCTACAGAATTTCTGGAAGCCTGGCATTCTGGCACATGGGCCATCATTAGACACAGACATAAACAACATCTACATACTGTGCAAAAGAGACAAGCAACAAGCCACAAGGAGAACAAAAAGACCAAAACACCTCCCCATCAGCAATCAATACCAAGATGACCATAGATTAAGCTCAAGATTAACATCAGGCCAACAATCAAGAAGTAAACAATACCCCAATCAAGGAAGTCCCAAACAAGCTAACAGTAAACAGCCCAACCCAACGAACCTCCAAGACCATTCGCATCAACACTTAAAGAATAAGTCACTAGAACCGGCCTGTCAAACTGGTGGCCCATGGGCTGGATGCATCATGTGCAGGCCACACCTACCCAGCTCCACAAAGGCAATAAACATCATTTATTTATTTATTTATTTATTTATTAGTTTAATTTATATGCCGCCTTTCTCCGGAGGCTCAGGGATGCATCATGATATGTCACAATACGTCACATGACACTATCAAGTTTGACACCATGCACAAGGATATAAACTGAGAGCAAACTCCACTCCTTATTAACACTGATGATGCTACCTAGTTTGGGTAATGAAACATGTGCAAGAAAACAACCAAGTTCAGAGAGCTCCAAGGAGCTCTCATACTGATCACAGATCAAAGCCCTAGAATTTCTTGACTCACAATTCAAAATTAAATACCCTTCCTTTCTATTGTTTTCTGTTCTCTCTCCTGAAATTTGGAACCCAACATTTATTGCTTCTAGACAAAGTGTGAACTTCCTCCTCAGAGTTGGACTCCCTATATGTCATCCACAATGTGGTCATTGTCATACTAGTCAAGGACCACTCCTTGGCTAAGAACACATAAGATCACAGAAGTCCAGATATCCAATAAATTTAGTTTTTAAAATTACTGCATATGTATTAATGACCACTTAAACAAAGGCATGGTAAAACAAGGGCATAGCACAATATGGGTGACAATACTAGCATTTATAAATATATGAAAACTTTTGGAAGCCAACCTGTGAATGAATATGAGTTATTCATTTGCTCAAGCTAACTACTTCTCTTCCATCTTGTTGAAAAAGAGATATGCTACTTTTACATTCTAGCGTTCGGCTGTCTCATTGGATTTATTCAGTGTTTACAAACTTTGACATCAGTCAAATTTTAATGCCAGAACTAAAGGCTAAATTACTCATTTATCTTGAAAATTAACTCATTATCATAGTGTTGGAGAATAGCACATTGATCTAACAACAGAACTGTCAAGAGGGCCAAAGTTTATGGCCTTTTTCAGATAATTTATTCACAATTCTTTCCTATAAGTTTATAAAATATGAAGTTCCATTGTGCTTCGAGAGTCTGAATAGGACAATTCAGGAAAAAGAACAAACATGAAAAATGAGGTCAAGGATATAGTAACAGTCATGTAATTTAAGGACTTTCTTCTTTGCCTAGCATCATCTTGATTAGTTACTTATAGCTGACTTCATTTGGTCAAATCCAGACTGAATCTTTATTATATGATAGAATAGCATTTTATTTCTAATTCCACATCTTCTGTCAAAATTGCACAATTATTTATCATCAGATGTTTCTGAAGCTTTTTAGCTAAAGAGATAATGAAAATAGAAATCAAAAAGGTCATCCAAATAAACAGCATATAAAAGCATTATTTCATTGTCTTCTTACCAAGGATTTTCAGTGAATGAGGTTCCACACAAAGAAGGCTATCCCTTTTGTATTCTCCATAGATAACTGAAGGACCTATGAAGGATACAGAAGACAGAAGACATTACATTGCTCTCAAATGGTCCTGGTCCATTTGAGCAAGACTTAAAAACCAGCATCTAAGCCTTAGGCTGAGAAAACAACAGAGATTGCATATCTGCCACTCAACATTTAAACTCTATTAACTCTATTAAGGGATAACCAAATTTCTAAACCATCTTTAAAGATACTATTAGAGCAAACCTCTGAAATCAATAGTATTGATATTAATATTTCTGCTAAACTTTAAACTATAAGTATCTTATTTCATTTTTAATGATTAAGGAATAGACACATGCAATTTTTTTGATTTTGTGTCTAAATATTCTAAAGGGCCAACTGGACAATACAAGTTTAATGAAAAAACCATCTTTGCTGAAAGTTGTGCCTTGGCTGCGAGTTGCTTCTTTGACTCTGTTTTGAAAGCTCAGAAGATCTGTAGAAGATCTTTTGAAGACACACTCATTGCCAGAAGGGTTCCTTTCGGCTATGCGGGAGGGATTTTTTTCTTATGAGACTCTCAGGCTATGGAACCTATTGCCCCTAGGAGTTGCAGTTGATCCCTAGTCTAAATATTCAGATAATCTTCAAGTTTATCTTTTTTAAAAAAGGGACGGATTAATTGTTAACTGGTTTTAGAATTAATTCAGAATATTTGTTTCAATATAGCTTTCTAATTCTTGTTTTGTGTCTAAAAATTTGTCAACTTTCCTGAATGCTCAGCAGAGTGGAAAGGCATGTATAGAAAAAATAAATAAATAAGTCAGCCAGCTTGGAATATCTCAAAATTAAGTGAATGTTTATTATGCTCTTTGAGCAAACACAGAAAAACACAAGCATTTTTCATAAATAATTCAATACTTACTGATGCACCCCGTTGGAAGAAATATCCTTCTGGGTTCAGTTTCAAGTGGGGAAAAAGTCACTGGAAACATGAAGACTGCTTGGAAAGATGGTTTAATGGTGGACAGGATGACATGGTTTGAGGTCCCAGGCAAAAAGCACATAGTTGAGAGCGAGAGAGAGAGAGAGATTTATACCCTCTGTTGGGCTTTGAATTTGAGATTGTATTCTGATTGGTTGTCAGACTCCCATGGTGCCATGCAGGGGTAACTCTGTAGGTTGTGTCTTGAGTCCCAAGCTTGGTTGAGCCTTGCTGGGTGATGATGTAATGAAGGGGCTTTGGGCAATTCCTATTATGGCTCTGCTTGAAGGAGGTAAATCAATTGTTATGTAGAATAGACTGGCCCAGGCCTTAATGGCCCATTGACAAAGGTGAGGGGGCTGAGTTTCTGCCCTCCTTTTAGGTGAAATATTCTGTCGTTTTAATATTTCCTAAAATATCTCATTTTCCTAGAAGAGGGGTGGTTGCTAACTTCCTACAACCCCATAATATAGTCTCAGCCTAGTCAGCATCCTGATACCAAAAAGATAGACTTTCAAACTGAAATATCACACTTCCTTAAAGAATGTGATTTAATAATGGTCAGATCCCGGAGTCAAGGTTTGGCTAACTCTGTAAGCAGCAGCTCAATTCCCACCCCCCACACACACATTGGGAGTAATTAATAGTTTTAGATTTACCCCAAATAACACTTTGCTCTTTTATCAGGTCTCCTTGGGCAATGACAGCAGGACAGATATCTATCTCAAAAGAACAAACAAATGTGATAAGACATATCTCCCTGTTTTGATTTCCTCCAATCCACAATGTTGTTCCTCAGTGGAACTGTTGTGAAATCTTCCCTGAAGCAATGAAATGAAACGGGTGATGGAATGGGTTCATAGGGAAGGTCTGACTTATTTTGACTCACCATTGTACTTAATGGCAGACTTAGAAACATTCAGAAACCACCCTGCAGAACTACTGTGTGACTATGAGCTCATGTCCAATTCTTCTTCATGATTAAAAGTTCACCTTGTAAAAAAAAAAAAAATCTATTTAACATCCCTATACTCCTGAGAGATTAGAAAATTAAAGGAAAACTTTACAAGCCAACATTTCTCTCAAATTACTGTGGGAGTGGATCAGCCCTATTGGAATAAAAGGTTAACGAAAAATTAAAAAGCCAAAGGCTAGGTTTACCTCTACCCTAATTAATATGATTTCTAGCTGCAATACTGCATGGGTACTCACCTAGCAAAGAAACCTTTCTAGTTGTTCCAGAAGCATTTCATAGAAATAGAGTAAGAAGAATTTAATATAGGCATTCTGAATGCATTACTATTCTGAAAGCTGTTTCTAACCAGCAAGATGGCTAGAATTCCACATAATTAATGTGCTTCTGTTACTCATGAAGAAAACACCCCACACATGTCACATTTTAGCCATTAATCAAACTTAACTGATAACTAGCCAACTGTCTTTTAAACTGTTTTGAAAATAATTTAAAAGCGGAGATATTGCGTTCACTTTTAAGTTTATCAACTTTTTCTTTGAAAAAAAAAATCAAGAACCTTTATCAGGTTGAGCACTGAATTTTAGAGTACATCTATTGCTTTCCATTTAATATTAACCATCTTAGGTATTTCTGGAAATAAAAATAGAAATCATTCTGTAACAATTCATTAAACAAAGGAAACAGCAATACTTCTTCTAATTTTGAACACAAAATAATTAATCTTCCTTAAATTTATCTGCCCTTCCCTTTATCACTGACCTAGATAAATGCCATGGAGATATTCAGCTTCTTCTTGTCTTTTATCTTCTCTTGTATACTAAGGGTATTCAATAATAAAATACAAAAATATTAGATCAAACTCAAGGCCCGGAGCCCGGATTCACCCTACAGAGTGCTTAGATCTAGCCCATGGGGCTGCCTTGGAAACAGGGAAAGACCGGCCCATGGTGCCTCTGCCACCAAAAACGGAGCTACCAAGCTCTGTTTTCGCTGGCAGAGGGTTGCAGGAGGCCATTGCAGGTGAAAACAGAGCTTGGGAGCCCATTTTCACTGGCAGAGTGCTCAGATCACCACAGGTGTCCCTGACATGAGTGACATTGAGCTGGCCATGCCCAGTCGACCCACGCACCCTGGCCCCCTGAGGTCAAACACAACCCTGATGCGGCCCTCAATGAAGTCGAGTTTGAAACCCCTGAACTAGATGATACTGAATTTTACCTGGTATGTTACACCATGTTATCCAATTCATAACTGGTGAATGTTTTGTGAATTATATCTGCCTTTGAGTTATCTTCATTATAATCAGCCCAGTTTCTGTTATTGTTTTTAACAGTCCATGATATGTTGCTATAGTAGTGGAGTTCTCCTCAATATTCTCTCTCGTTTTATGGATTATTGTTCTTCACTTCAAAGTCCAGCTGGAAGTGATATCTATCTGCTGGAGGTGATATGTGCATTTAATTCAAGTGTAATGACAGTTTTCTTTCACACCGCATTTATTGTAGTTTAACCCACTTTAACTCCCTCCATGAAAGAGCACATTGCGAATGTGGCTGCAATGCAGACACAGCAACTCTCTTTCCACTTGCACAGTAGGAACATCTGTGAATGCAGTTTCAATGTTCTGGCCAAGCATAAAATCTGTGAATCTGTGAAACATTTAAAAGGCAAGACCTAGAGAGTTTCATTAACAATCCACCGCAAACGCCAAGTGACACCTCATGTATTTGAACATGATTTGTAAGCTGGGTGTTAGAGAGGTGTAAAATTATTCCATAAATTATCTATGAAAGTGGTAAAATCTACGACTCCTCTGCTCTTGCTTATTTTTAGATCTCAAATTTTCAACAGAGAAAAAATTCTTCAGCATCAGAATCCTAACACTGAGGCAAACTAAAAGGAGAACTTAAGAACAGTTTTAATAATGCTGGGCGTGATCATGATTTTTACCATGCCCTCTCCAAAGATGAAGAAAAAGCTACAAGACCAGATTGATAATGATGCTAAACTTTCTATAAATAAGATCTCCATGAAAGTTAGATTAGATGGAGAAAGTATAAAGGCCAAAATAATATTGCTTCATGGACTTGGTGATATTGAATTCTCTCAATTTTAATGTTATGTATATATTGCATGTACAATACTCTCAGGTCAGATGAAAAAGGAATGGTACTTATCTATTTGTCTATGGGGATATTTTGAATATTGATAGTCTATGCAGAAAGGGAAACAAAGGGATTTTATTGCTTGCATTAGAAAATTGTAAGATGTGACTATGACTGAGGGACATCCAGCAGATAAATAGAGAACTCTTATAATAATGGGGTGGGGAGAAATCACTTTTCCACTGCTCCTCTTCCCACTACAACCATATTTCTAAATTGAATATGAGGGGAGAATACAACTTAGCAGCTGGTGAAAGGAATTCATACTGATTACAGGGCTGAAGGCAAAGATATTCTGAAACTTGAATGTCAGCATTAGTCAGAAAATAATTTGGGGGGAATTGCTTCTCGTTTCAGGTAAGATTTAATAAATGTTTGACTTGCTGACAAGACCTCAGCAGAATTTCCCAAACACTTAATTCAGCATGCATTGACTAAATTCTAGGTCCATTCTATATTTAAGGCTTTCCAGCTTATAACAATGCATGGTTAGGTACAAATCTTCACTGAATAGTAGAAAGACTCTACAGAAGAACCTTTGTCAACATAATAATGCAACTCCCTCTATAGTTTAATTTTAGTATTTTTTCTTCCAACCATCCTATGCCTTATGTCCATTATTGAAGATTGGTTGTGTTGTTGATACTGATATTATGGTCTGAGAAACCCAGCTTAACTCTTGCACTACCCTCCTCTTCATTCTACATGTCACACAGAAAGGTCTACATATCTGGAAGAAACAGGAATTATCCTTCATTCTTCAACACTTTGAAAGAAGATCAGTTTCTTAGCTTAACTCCCACATGAAGCTTCCAATTTTCATATTCCATTTTGAGATTACCAGAATTCCTTATTTTGAAAGCAGATCTTTCGAGTCAAACTTGATGATACAGAGCTTAAGAGAATCTCTACACAACGAAAGAATATATTCTTTTCTGACAATTAAATTATTCCTGACAGTTAGAGCAATTAATCAGTGGAATGACTTGCCTCCAGAAGTTGTGAATGCAGAAGTTTTTAAGAAGAGATTGGACAATCATTTGTCTGAAATGGATAGGGTTTCCTGCTTGAGCAGGGGGTTGGACTAGAAGATCTCCTAGGTCCCTTCCAACTCTGTTATTCTGTTATTTCTATTATAATATATAATGAACCCAAAAGGCTGTCCCCTTTTCATATATCCTCATCAACCTATTGCTTAAATGTGGGACCTGGCCTAGATTTGCTTTTTGTGTGGAGTTTATATCAGTATATTTGCAGACACTCTTCTTACTACATTTTAGAAATTTGGATAAATTGGAGCATGATTATTGAGTGATCACAAGTCTATTGGCTTGATAGGAGCAATCAGCAAAAGCAAATGCCTTCTCAGACCCATTAACTTTAAAGTCGAATCAGTAGTCCCAGATATGAATAGCCAAATACCACTTAAATTGTTTCATTAAATGACACAAAGAGTAACATTTCTTTTATGTCTTAAATTGCATAATGAATTAAAAGTCAGTCACCCCTGAGGGGGAAAAAAATAGAAGAAACCTATACTGATAGACTGGTCACCTAAAATGCTGCTTTGAATTTTTACCTTGACTATAGTACAGTCTCATTGAGTCTGCCTTTTCTTATGTTTTACATGGTTTGATTCAAAAAGACTGTTTGCCACCTGATTCACATGCCCAATATTACTGTGTGTCTACAGCAGGGGTGTCAAACTCAAGGCCCAGGAGCCTGATCCGGCCTGCAGGGTGCTTAGATCTGGCCTGTGGGGCCGCCCTGGAAACAGCGAAGGACTGGCCCACAGTGCTTTGCCAGCACTGGGTGTGGCCCTCCTGAGCTCCATTTTTGCAGGCAGAGGGTTGCAGGAGGCTCGTTGCAGCTGAAAATGGAGCTCAGGAACCCATTTTCTCTGGCAGAGCGCTCGGGCCACCACAGGCACCCCGATATGAGTGACATTGTGAGCTGTCCATGCCCCCCTGTCCCCCATCCCCCCAAGGTCAAACACAACCCTGATGCTGTCCTCAATGAAATCAAGTTTGACACCCCTGGTCTACAGTATTCTATTTCTTTTATTACCTTTGTCTAAAGTTAGTTTTTAGCTAAGTAACACTATGGGATTGTGAAGAGACCAATGATAGCTGAAAATATAAGCATTATCAGAGGAAATGATTAAAAGATACATCTATTTAACCAGCAAAATGCGTATACCAGGACATCAGCTTGAGAACCTTTTTCTGTGTTACAGTATGCAGTTTCTCTGTGTCTGAGAAGCTAGTATAAGATATAAAAATAAACTGTTATCAATTCAGCCTGAGTATTGTTCCCTGTTTTGCCACATTATACCAGCAAAACCAAAACCACCCTTTTATATCTGAGCAGGGTAAAAGAGAAGATTGTGCAGAAAAGTCTCCAGTAGAAGGCACACTGCAGAGTTTACTATCTTCTCAAAATGAAATGACTTTATTTAAATGGCAAAAGAACAGTGTTTATGAAAAGCAAAGCTAAATGAAACATACACTGAAATAACAACAACAATCCAGAGGAAGGTTACTGCAAAATCCCCATTTCCTCCCGATCACCTGGGACTTGGGAGGCAGAGAATAGATGGGGGCGGGGCCAGTCAGAATTTTTACTACCGGTTCTGTGGGTGTGGCTTGGTGGGCATGGCATGGCTTGGTGGGCGTGATTTGGTGGGCGTGGCAGGGGAAGGATACTGTAAAATGTCCATTCCCTCCCCAATCCAGAGGAAGGTTACTGCAAAATCCCCATTTCCTCCCAATCAGCTGGGACTTGGGAGGCAGAAAATAGATGGGGGCGGAGCCAGTCAGAATTTTTACTACTGGTTT